TGAAAAACTACGACTAAGTTAACACTAGGGTTTACTTTCGACTGTGTGGTGTGCGAGCTATTATAAATTTTTAAATTTAATTTATGAGTATTTAAAAATTAATAATTGCAAATTTATTAGGAATTTAAAAGGAAATAAATAAATTTATTAAATATATTTTACGTTAAATGTCATGTTAAAAATATTTGAAAGAAATTTATATAAAGTAATTATTAATTTATGAAATAATCTTCTCAATTTTAGTTTGAAAAGTTCTAACATAGTGATTCAGGAGTCATAGTGGAGCTAATCAGCACTGGTCCCTCGCGAAATCAAATTTAAAAACACGTTTATGTATTATACCAATAAATAATGAATATTCAATTTATTATTTTCTATAAATATTAAATTTTATTGCAAAATACATCATACACTTGAAAAGGTTACAAATATATTATCATTTTATACACAAGCCTCTTTATGCATCATTCTAACTACTAAAAAGCCCAAAAAAAAAAAGTAAGAGGAAGAAGAAATGGGGAGGATTACAAAGGCGTGAAGAATCGAACTCTCACCAACAAAGTGACAGTTCAGGCAGTAAACCAACGCGAATCTTTCAAAACCAAACAATTATATGATAGATTTTGGCCATAACTCTTTGAAATATACTCTAAGCACTTTCTGCAAATCCAACTTGTAGATTACCAAAGTCAAAAACAGTGTGATATGCTCTCAAGAATACATCTCCAAGAACCCTGCCAACATCAAGAATTTCAAAATCATTCTCGTGGACATCGCGTGCAACTAAAGAGGTGACAAAATATTCATAAGTCGCGCCAAATAAATTAACTTGTTTTACCAGAGGGGACGTCGTGGATGCACATCCAAAGCTGTAAATCCACTAACACAGCGAGTATCATGATTGTCTTCGACTCTGATAACATACTATTACCAAAAACCGAGCAGAAAGTAGTTAGTCTCTGAAAGATAACAGAACAGATGCCTAAGTATAACATTGCTTCCAGTATGCAACTTTGTTGTGTGAAGTTTAAAAGTGCCTCTAGTATGCACATTGGAATAGCACGTTAAGCAAGACGATAATAAGAACCATCCTACACCTAACAGAACTCGTTTAGTTACTCGAGCTTTGTAGTGGTTAGCAGTAGTCACCTTGTTGGTCCTTTGATCCACCAGAACAAACAGAACATAAACTAATGGCTATGGTTTATCTACTACTTCAATAAACTTCTGCGCAAAATTTGACAATCTTAGACTCCAAAGATTTTTAGAAACATACAGTAATTTGATCTGTGCTGCAAATAAACGAGACGATTTGATATCAACTTACTTGATCTGGAGAAAGGGGGAAAGGTTTTTTCCCAATGGTAATTGTGATGTGTGGCAGCGAAAACACATCACAGTTGATATACGATTTTCCTTGAGGATCCGGGAGCTTCTCACACAGCTTCAACACAGAATAAGAGTTATCAGATGCAAGTATAGATATCTCTTAAATGGATTTATGTTACTTGAAATGTTGTCGGATGTGTGTCAGATTCTTAAACGTTATTCACTTTTTGGAGAATCCGAGCAAACATAGTAATGGATTTACCTGATTCACATATTCAAATGCTTTTTCCTTTGTTGTCTCTTTTCTAAGCTCAACTTGCATCCAGAAAACTGTCATCTCACAGAAAGAACATAAACCACTCTCATCATTCGGTAGCTTCTCCAACTTTGAACTTCTAGCTACCATTTTCTCCTCAACATGGCTGCATACGTTTACAATAAAAGTCTCGGTTTCAACGTTATAATTCTACATCATTCGAGAAGAAGGAACTCAAAATTCTAACCTCACACCAGACGTGCCATTACGAGTACAAATACCAATTCTGTGGCAAATTCTTTCAGGTTGTAACTGCAGGGACAAAGAGTGAAATGTTAGAAGAATTTGATGTGTAAAATATTGCATACAAAGTTGAGTCAGGAACTGTGTTACTCGGGTCATCGCCTCTGGACCAGTATCCTCCAAAAATGAGGTCCGACACACAAAGGTGACATTTTTGAAGGATCTGAGCAACATAGGCTAGGTAAAGACCATCTAGAATCGATGAAAGAGCAAAAACAACGAGAACCATAAAAAGAGCTTACGCCTGATACTAAGTTTTCCCAAATCATATTTCCATAATTCGAGAAAACAGTTTTACATTCCATACTAACAAATCCTTCTGCTCCAATAGCATGATTGATTTGAGTCAAAATAGTCTGAAATCGAGTAAATACATATACGGATGAGAAAAAAACAGAAAAACTTCAGGAATAAGATTAAGAAAAATGAGCAATCGTTATGAGAACACATACAGTCGGACCAGCAAGAAAAGACGTTCCAGTATCCACAATCGCTGGACAGCCACCTTTACAAAGACCTGTGGTGGAAAATAACAAAAATCACGTCAGCTTTTAGGTGAGACAGTCACACGCTTCAACATAAGTTTGTGAATACATTACCTGTTGAATTGTTTCCGATAACAACGTCCCCTATTTCAATCTGGAAATTGTAACAAACTCGAGCAATAAGAAGAAAAACACTAAACAACATGCATAAAATACTCTACTTGGTTTAATTAGTTACCTCCCAGTAACCATTTTGAGCAACTGGGACATAAGTATGCTGACCCCTGAAGCGAGTACTATCCACCCCTCCAAAGAGAATTTCACCCCCGAGCCTAGATTTAGTATCTCGATTCAGCCAGACCGAGAAGATTGGCTGAGTAACAATACGTTGAAGCAACATATTATACCTACCAATATCATGCTAAATTAGTGCACATGATCGGAACAAAAATATGTTTTCCATCCGTTTCAATTTGTTTGTATTACTTTCTGTTTTAGTCAGTTTCAAAAAGAATGTCTCTTTCCTCTCTACTTTCTTAAACTCCGCGTGAAGTCAAAACCAAACAAACAAATTGAAACGGAGGGAGTATAAGATTAGCTATCAGTTAGAGATTCAGCTGGCTTCAGTCAAACAAGCATTAGAAATTTGGCGAAAAACTAAGTAATACTAGTCTATGAACAAAACAGAGATGCTTACCATACTGGCGTTACTCGTTCTGCAGCAGCATCCTGAAATCCTAGTCCTAGTACCCCATCATAGCGTGCACTCAAGAATGTGAAAAATCCTTCCCGCGTTACCTCAGTGAAAACCTGATAGATTTTCATTTGAACATTTAGCATTAACAACATACGTACAACGTCAAGCTACAAAGAAATAAGATTGGCACCTGCTGATTTATGACAGAACTCCCAACTTTAACGTTGTCTTGGCTGAACAATCCGCGTACTGATCTAGTTCCAAAAGGGATCTTACTAGGATTTCCTACAGTACAAAGCCAAAAGATTTAACTGAACCTATGTTGTGTATAAAGACTAAATTATATTCAATCGAAATAAGGATAGTTTTGAAGTCAATTGGCTAAATACCAATTTTTGTATATGTAGTCGATAGTCTTGATCTGTACTTGGAACGAAGATAACAAGCGATCTGCACAAAGAAAAAAGGATGCTTACAAGGGATTGAAAACATGGTTAAGCAAACAAAAGTGTGCTCTCTCGCTAAATGCTTGAACTTTTAGCTGAGATGATCACACAACATGGTAACAAAAAGGACTCGCTAATAGCTTAAGCTTTTAGTTGAAACTACAACAACCTGCACAGTTTCATAACAAACTTACAGAGAAAATGCATTTGGAGGAGGGGACCCAAAGATTTGAACTAGCAGTATCCAAAACAACAGCAAAATGTTGAGGAGGTGAACCGATACCAATCTCTGCGAAATACTGGACGTCCATATAGTTCTTCACATAAACTATTTCATCTCTAAGAGCTCCAAGATTCATATCTGAACCTTTATGATTATGTTTAGCATAAATTCTTGCTGCCCTGATGCTATGAATATCCAAATTTCTCCTCTTTAACCCGATTCTTATCGTATTATTAGCAGATGCATTATTGAAGCCATAGGCAGAGGTACATAAACTCCATATCACTAATGCTGCAAGTAAAACTTTGATCTTCATGCTGTCCACAAGTTCTCAGGCTCTACATAGACAAACAAAGGTGAAAATCATTAGGAAAAGTACAAAATACTTGGAATGTATTAGCCCTCACGTCCAGTGACGGAATCAAGATTTTCACCTTGAAACTTTCAATATATGTAAACTTAAAAAAATAAAGAGATTCAATCTCTATTAGACTTAGAAAATAGATTATTGTATATGTGTACCGATGGAAGATAACAAATACCTGTAGAATTAGTCGATGTGCAAGGCAAGCGATGCAAATTAACTCCGAAAATACATGAAGGGTAGTTAGTATTTATATATGTAGGAAGAAATTAAGAAGCGTGATGAACATCCATCATCATGGTAGCAAATAAGTCCACTTTAGGAAACCAACATGCAATTTCTTCTAATTAGTATAACATTGCTAACTCTACGCTTGGCAATGAGCAAAAAATTTAGTCTATTTAGGTAAGTCGTGAACGTAACTTGTGAGATATTATAACGAAAAACATGACAAGTTATTTCAAGCGTTAATCATTGAATTTCAAGTTTAATGTATAAATATTTTAACAAATTCTTTGACAAATATATTATTTAAACAAACACAACTGAATTCGATCAAACCCGAATTTGATCTAGCAATGTTAAGCATGAGATATATAGATGAATTTGATAGAAGATCTCAAATTCAAATAATAATATATGATACATAATGGAACGGTTAACCCTCGAATCATCTCTATGATATACAAATTTCCCTTCAAACGCAAACTTAGTTTTCTATCGAAACTAAATACTTTATATTATTATTACTATGTCAAAAAACGTACATAATCCTTCAAAATGACTCAGTTTATTTGAGCTTGTCGCATAGGACTTGTCTAGTGAGTTTTACATCTCCCGTATGATTTACAGGCTATAATAAAGTGATGATTTATTGCAAAATGATAATTTATCCAATACGCATAAAGTGTTCACCCGAAGAGCATTATAATAAAAAAGCATACATTGTTCAAAAATACCCTTGGCATCATGTACATTTCTAGTGGACAATAAACGTCTAAATAAGATTTAGAAAATTTCGAATATCAGATAATTATATATTTAAAAAAAAACGAAAACTATTTAATATTTCACTACTCAGATCTAACATTAGATGTTCTAATTTGCTCTCCAGCGTCCGGAGGTTGTTGTGGTGTGAACGCCTCCGTCTGTCCAGGTGGTGATATAGGTGGTCGTGGTGCTTCCTGACCTGAAGGAGAAGTGTTCGGTGGATCGGAAAATTCAGGACTATCGGTCCGCGGTGCCGTTGGCGATGGCGTCGGAGGGTTTTCACCTGCAGTTCAACTGTAGTGTTAATATCTATATCTAATATTTTATTTCGTGTAGGAAAAATTACTCCATATACTTCATTTAGCTTTTCGATCGAAAATCAATCTAACTAATTTAAATATATTACAAAAAGTAATTACAAGTTAGCAACTCTTTCATTTAACGGGGTATGAATATTTCTCAATTTTTCATAATTTAGGTAATAATAAATGTACCATTTAATTCGGCTTGACATATATTATAGCTAGATAAATAAATACTAAAACTAAATATATGAAGACATATGCATAACTTTTAATAGATACAGATTAATTTAAATTCATAAAGTTTAAATTCTGAACGATTATTGACCTGGTCTTATCAGTGGAATAGCATCGAAATCTGGCACGAACGGTGAATCCTCCACCGCCGGCGGTGCATCGGTGGGTCTGCTAGTATTTGGTGGTGTTGTGGTAGGAAAATCAGATGGAAGATTTTCCTTGCTCATTTTTCTAGTAAGTCCAACTGATATAGTTAACTTTTGAACAACAAATATTGAAGATCTTGTATAATATTTCGCTGAAAAAATTCTTAACATTTTTTTATTTAAATTATTATTTTGGTATATATCTATTTGGTAGAACAGGAATATTAAGATATCATTTGTTTGGTTTTAGCACAAATTTTTTTTGTAAATGTATAGGATAGTTCAAGTGATACGTGTTATTCATGAGACACCTTTGTATTTGATACGTGGTATTCATGAGACACGTGGATGCCATGCACTCTGACACCTGTACTAATTCAAAATAATTTGATTGATACATTTTATATTCCAATATGTTGTATATAATATAATATTAGAAGAAATTAGTAAATTAAGAGTAGATTTATAACATCAGCATTTTATTCTTTCAAAAAAAGATAATTAAAAGCTTAAATTGTTTGAAAAAAACATAAAAACATCTTCATTCAAAATTCTAGCTCCGACACTGAAATCATCAGTAGATGATGGGTGATGGGACATCAGGCTGTGGAACCTGCCACGGTTCAGGTTCAGGCTCCCTTGGGGGCACAACATCTGGCCCGGTGGGCGGGACAATCTCCGGTGGTGTTGGAGGTGTAACATCCGGCCAACCAGGCGGAACAATCTCCGGTCCCATCGGAGGTACAACATCCGGACCACCGGGTGGAACAATCTCAGGTGGTGGGCCAGGTATGTCTGGGCCCACTGGATCATTATTGGGTGGGCCTGGGCTTGGAGGTGATAATGGTGGTTCCTTAGCAGGCTTTTCTGGTGGTATCTCTATAGGTTCTAAAACAGATAGGTCAGATTTGTTGCAACTTCTCATAAGATTTGGGCCGTTTATTCTTACAGTTTTAGCCATTAATGGAGTTGAACAAGTTGAGTGATAACATGAAATCGTCTTCTTCAAAAAACTATGTGAAATGGCCATTAATACAGTACTACACATTTCTTCTTTTTTTGGATTGGGAGTAGAAGAATTAATTTTTTTAGAGTGAAGAAATGAAAATAATACCTTAGTAGTAGTATTTATTGTTATCATGACACGACGACACGTGGCATAGATAGAGCCACGTAGCAATAACGCACAGCTTCATCGAACATATAAATCATTGGACGTTTATCTATTGCAAAAAAATAATATAGGAAAAGAAAATTAGAGAATCAATATGTCAAAAATATGACGGAGGATATTTACATATTATTTATAATAATTTGAGATATATTGATCGCTTTTCCCTATAAAATAAAATATTAAAATTCTAATTGAGATTGCATGAATATAATATTTGATATATCTACGTATTTTTGAAGCTATAGTTGTTTTGAATTCATAAGTAGTCAACTGTGTGTGTTTTTGAAAGGTATTATTAATAAATATGTTATTTAACTTGATAATGTTTTCCTCAGTAAGATTAAAATCACCTAATGTAATATTTTGCCAGATTATCAGTTTCACTCGTAGGATTACACTGTATTTTACCAGATGATATAAACTTTGCAATACAGAATATTCAAATCTTGTATGTCCTTGCAGGAGTCAATTGTGATAGCTATTAGAAAAGGTTCAAATGTGCCAAAACCAGTAGCTCTTCAAGGAAATGCATATGATAAAGAGTATGAACTACACATAAAAACTTACAGCAAGGGCGCGGAGTTTCATATTACTTCTGTGAATACAGAAAAAGAACATATTCCCTTTGTCTAGGTTGGTGTTTTGCCAGGAACTTTCTGTGCAATCCATCCTAAACCATCGTATAAGCCGTCACCAGTCAGGGCACTGCAGGCTTGTATATGCCAATCGTGGTTCTTAATGCTATGAAGGGAAAGTGCATCAGTTATCTCTGCAGGGGTCATGGCATCTTTAAGATCCTGTTTGTTTGCAAACACTAGTACAACTGCATTTTGCAGATCCTCGTGTGGGAGCAACCTGAACAGCTCGTCTTTCATTGTGGAAATACGGGCTCTGTCACTGCTATCGATAACTACAATGACAGCATGAGTTCCGCGATAGTAAGTTGCCCATGATGTCCTCAGTCTTTCTTGCCCACCAAGATCCCAGACCTGATAAAAACAACATAAAATAGAGAGAAAGGATTAAGTCCTCATTTATTTCTCCAGATATAATTAACCTGCAGTCTTTTGTCAATACACTTCTTCAATGGCGAAAAAAAGAGAGAGGATAAGGGTAACTTATAATATACGGAGTACAAATCAGAGTGCAGAAACAAGGACATAATGTCAATGATGGTATCGCAAGGTCTCTTTCTTTTCTAACAAGTGTGTTATCACAACCGTTAGATGCTTCAAGCTGGTTAGTAAAAGAATTCCCTGGCTTCAAGAGGAAGAAAGTGTATGCTCAAAAACAATCACGGTACCAAGGAAAATTATTTCTCATCAGTGGCTACTGAAGGCCAATACACTATTGATCATATGAGTTCCTATCCAAGTCCACATAAAAGAGAAAATATTCCTTATTGTTTGGTTGGAGTATACTGCACACTTGAATCAGACTAGACCACAACTTCGAAACTACTCAATGTAACATGAACCCATAAACCCATGTGCACAAGATATAAATCCACCTCAAGTGTCAGCTAGAAGCAAAAGCATGTCATGCATACTAAATATCCTCAGTTATTCTGGTTATTATGAGGGGTTCAGCAGAAGTAAAACTTTTTTTTGTTAGATAGGTTCAGCAGAAGTATTTTCTTGGCTCCAGTCCTGAGAACCAAAACAATTTTACTATTAAATGGGGTGAATGCAAGACAGTAAATTATATTGAAATCCAATATGCTTACCTACTTCGTGACCTTAAAGGTTGCCAGCGGCACTCCCATTAATAGCTGATAATGTTGAGAGTTGATAGACACACATGTAACTAGGACATCTTTCAATTAGGGCAAAAGAAGTAATTTGGTTTAAAAAAAAAAAAGATTGTAGATTTTGGGGTGATTCAGAAAATAATGGTAGTCATTTTTCAAGGAAAAGATATCTTTGACCTGTGTTGTAGACGGTTTCATTTTCACAGATTAAAAAGTCATCAGAATTATTTCATTCGGAGAAATTTAGAAATTCCAGTACTTCAGGCCCAAAAGGTACCCTTACCTGCTCTTAGAAAGTGAAATTCTTCTTTATTAGGTTTATGACCATAAGACCATTTAACTGTTTAAGCAGATGAACGTTTCCCCATTAGAGATAATGGGTCCACAAAATTAACCATTTTGATTAAAACATACAAGCGCAACAACAAATACCATTGAATCAACTTCCACAAAGGGCATGGAAAAAGAAATAAAGCACTGTGCACAAAGATGGAAAAGAATGAGAACACTATGATTTGCGTCACTATAACCCGCCTTAGTTAAGAATCTTATTACAGGCATCACAGATTCGAACCCTGGCGCAGACAAAGACCGGAATTTAAGTGGAGAAGGTTAAAAGTGTTAAAAGTAAAGAAGGGTAGAGGGGTTAGCCCATTATCCACTGCATTTCGTTCCATGTGCCACTGGCCCTCGGGATTTCTCGGTTATCGAAAAAGAAGAATCTTATTGTGTAAAATCACACTGTCAAGGTGTCAATTGTTCTGGGAGAACACCATTATGAGAAAAAGAAAAAACACTAAAGATGATTTCACGACTTGTCATCATGAAAATAAAGTTGCACATTATAAACCTACTTCATCTGTTTAATATTTCATGTGCTGCATCAAACAGCAAAATAATTGAATAGCAACATGGACTAGAAGGACCACTCAATTAGACGAATTACCCAAACTAAGAATTTTCATAGACAGTTCTTTAAACTCGCTCGAGGGCTGAAAGAACTAAAGTCAAGGGATGGCGCCCATAATCCTATTATGCAGATTGACATCCAACTAGCCCATTCCTATTGGGATGTTAATCATTGCTGCATTGCACGATTACATACAGGTAATAGTATATTGTGTGGAACATGATTGGAACTGAATGGCGATGCCACAAATCTCAGACAGATGTCGCTAGACTGGAAATTGAGGGAATAAAAAGACTGAAGGACAGCATTTACCAATTTGGCGCCCATGTAGATAAGAATTTAGGGTGCTCTTGGCAAGACGCATCGTTTTTATGACGAAGCCAATTTTTCTGCTATTAAGAGGGGGAAATTACTTCTCTCACTTAGGACGTAAGTCATCTTTCTTTCGGCTATCTTTAATTCTTAAGTTCATACTACTTGCTACAACTACCACATAAATATTATTATTGATCTTCAGTAATAAAAAGTTCCATCAAAACATTATGCTTTGCTGACACCATTATTAATATTTGGTACATAGATCAATAATAAAAAGTTCCATGAAAACATTATGCTTTGCTGATACCATTATTAATATTTGGTACATACTTTTTGCTAAAAACTTATTTTTCCATACACAAACCGAACACTAGAAAAACACTTTTTACGAAAACACACATGGAGAATTACTTCCAACATATCAAATACTTCTACTTAAGTACATATAAGTTTAACTTTTCTATTTGTTTTACCTTTTTGGAGCACTTAAATATTCCAATCAGCAAAGATGATTCGACTCTTCGCAATCATGTGCTTCTTGTGGAATTTTCTATTTTCTTATTCTTACTTTATGTGGCTTTCTCCCTCATCACATCAATAAATTATAAGAAACTGTGATCCATTTCCATCATCAGCAAGCATTTGTAGATTAAAGAAGTGCATAACTTGATCTACTCCTGTCAAAATGATCCTCTTCTATGATGATTAACCCTTTTGAGTTAGAACTGGACAATCTATTGCCTTCCTCATCCTTCTTCTACCTCTGCTTCTTCTTCCTCCTCCACCTAGATTCTAAAAAACTTCCCACTACTTCTCCCTCATTTCATCCATCAGTTAGACTTACATGTGATACGTTTCCTCAAAATTTCAGCCAAAATCCGCCTCAAATGTTCTAATTCCCAACAACTAAATTTAAGTTGGTGAATCCCTATATTACGGACATCTGTCCTATCCTCGGTCACTTAATCAGATTAAGTGATATTGAAAACCATCATGTACACAATCAACTAATAAAGGATAGGTTCACAGAAACACAATCTTCAAATTATTATTGTTTTCATAGACACACTTGTACAGAATTGTATTTCTCACTCACACTATAATTGAAATAACAGAACAATTTCAAATTAAAACGAAAAATGAAAAAAATGTTAAATCTGACAAGCTTAACACTGCAGCTGAATATGAGTTTGTCCAAACAAACCTTGGGAAATCATAAAAGACAATTCTTAAATGATTCCAGATTGGTATACGTTAGCTGCTGCTAGCCTATTCTATAAACTATAAAGTATATATGTGGTCAATATCAGGGTTATTTTCAATGTAGAGGTCATGTTGTCATACTCCCAAACTATAGGAGAATTTGTCTAATAGTAATAACATCTCATTAACCACCATTCCAGGAGAAACGGATAAATTATTCATCTCAAGTGCTAATCACTAGCATGAACAAACTGAGCTCTTCCCATTAGCAACCAGAACCTTCTCAAAAGCATGTTAGAAAATATCCATCAGTTTACTTCTGAGCTCGTATACCAAGTGAAACAAGTAAAGCTAAATGATATATACCAAACAAATCTCCTTAACTTGCAATTACCATTTATATATATGGATCAAACCAATTAATTTGTAATATATCTGTTAAACAAAAATCAATCTTTTCTGAGCACCCAAGTGTGTTGTAACGTGCAATTTGAAGTAGTTAGAAATTGGAATTGAAGTCCATGGGAGACATGGGTTCTAATCCCAGCATGAGAAGAAGCTAAAGCTATTTATTCCCATCTGTCTGAGATTAACAGATATCCAGTGTCATAATCAAGGCTTCCTCAATCGCGATGATTGCTTATGCATAGTCTATTACGAGTTCAAGACAAGCCTCTATGGGGAATTTGGTGCAATCTAACCCAGAAATTACCCTTTTATAAAATCAATCCTTCATTATGAACATAACAACTTTATACTACAATTTTATGCATAACCCTTTTTTCCTTTTTGATAACCATGGTGTATGGCCTAGTTACCGCACAGTTTGACAAATTACACTAGACACATATCACGTCCCATCAACAACATAATAGCAATTGGTACCACGTAACTCTGTCCACTAAGGAACAACTTTATACTACACTCATAAATCTAATTCCATATGACACCTACAAACTCTCACCTGCAACATAATAACAATAGGTACCAAGTAACTCTGTCTACGAAGGAACAACTTTATACTTTCAATTTCACTCATAAATCTAATCCACATGATACCTACTACCTCCGACCAGCAACAGATACCAAAACTCTCTCTATCCACCAAGGCCACCAAAACTAGGACATATAGGAATATATCACCTAGTGTTCTTCGTCACTGCTAGGATTTAATCTAATACCTCATCGTTCTTAACCCACATCATTAACCACTGGACCACACCATTGGGTGACCAATTTCACGCATAAACTTGATGCAAAATGATTAAATAATCCAATTATAACTCAACAAAACAGAAAAAGTAATATGAGATTCAGATACAGTGTTTGCTCACCTCAAATCGTATGTTCTTATAAACAAGCTCCTCAACGTTACTACCAACAGTAGGATTGGTAGTAACCACCTCACCCAGATGCAACTTATAAAGCGTCGTCGTTTTTCCAGCATTATCCAATCCAACAACAATGATCTTGTACTCTTTCGCCGGAAACATCATGAACCAGAATCTCGATACAAAACCTCCCATAACTTTTACAGATCTGATCTAAAACAAAAACCGATCAAAGTTGATTGATTCAACTTTCAGGTTCCAATGAAATCGTTGATAATCGGAACTAGAATCGACGGTGAAAATTCGTGATGAGTACTCGAATTTTTTATCAGAGAATTCCCTTTTTGACGAAGAAATTGGTTTAGAGTAGATTATTCAAAAAGGATAAAAAGAAGAAGGAGACAACAATTATTTTATGCTGTTAATGCCAGTAAAGATAAAATACTATTTATTTTGATGAACAAAGTTTTTAATTATAGTTTAAATTTTATTGTTCTAACAAAAAAAAAGGATGAAGGAACTTTTGTGAAATCAAAAACACTATACGCAATTTGTTTTTGATAATCAATATAAAATTTATAGGATCAATTTTAAATGTTGTTTTAACTGGAGATTATAATTCTTATTTTTAAAAAAATTCAAATGAAAAAAATAAAACACACGACAAAGTAGAGAAACGAAAAGCATTACAAAATATATATAATATAAAACAAAACATTATAAATTTACACATCTTTAAATAATTATAAGAAAAAATAGGGAACTTCAAAAGGCCATGAAGAGGCATTCTCAAGGTTTACACTATGCTAGTGTGGATATTTTAATAGAGTAGTTATTAAACTCTAAGACAATTAGAAACTGAAAAGATTAAAAAAGATTTGCTAATGATATATCTTAACTGTGTGCGTAATTCACAATAAGAATGGAATAGAAAATTAAAGATTTAATGAATGTAAATTGTTTATATATAATTGTAAGAATCAATTCTAACATGTTCGAATTATAATAGTTTCAAACTTAAATTATTACAAAGTCTAATTTTCAAATTATTCAAATAATTATTAATTTCAATAAATAGTTATGCATTTGGTTCTCTTTATGAGATTTATGGATAGTTTGTCCTATTGACTTCAAACCTTCAATTTGGGCTTACTTAAAGATTTATGCTTGCTTGTTGCTAGATTTATAATACTTTCTAAACTATGGTTAAAATTTGAAACAAACCAAAAAGTGGCTACTTGGTGTAAATAATGGTGTCCATAGTATTGCTTTCAAATTTTAATGTTGGTTTTTTCTCCACCAAATTCTAAATAACTTCTTTTTACTACTAGACATAAATTTTATACTTTTTAACTTTTTTTAACAGACATAAATTTTATAGTTATCATACTAGTAAAACAGAATTTTATAAATAATATAATTTTTTTTAAAGAACTTATGTCCATTAGATATAAGTTTAATTGTTAAATGATAAAAATATAGATCAATACATTTAAAGAATCAAATATAAAGATCAATTTATTTAAAACATGAAACGATTTATGATATTCATTAGTAATTTTTGACTTATCACAAAAAATAGTTAATGTTTTGAATATTTAAATTTTATGATTGAAACTTCAAATTGACGGCCTAATGATATGGTGCAATATGCATATGAAGTTATTATTTTTAATCAGATGTCTTCATTTAGGTTGTGACTAAGAAAAATTTCAGGGAGTGCTTTTCTCAAACGGATCTTTAAGGCTTATAAATTCGCTTAACTAATCGGTATTATTAAGGTTTTTTGTTTAGAAATTATTCTCTAGTCAATGATACTATAAGAGTATATGTACAGTAGAGTGGTATCATTAAAGCTTCTTGTTCTGAAATTATACATTAGTCAATGATACTATAAGATTATACGTATATTATTGTGATATCATTAAAGTTTTATTGTAAAGAAATCGCTGATCATTAGTCAATGAAACTATAAGATTATATATATATACACATGTTTTTATGGTATTATTAAGGTTTCTTAACAAAAACTATTAAAACACCTAAGCGAAATTATCAGCTTTGATGATACCAATACACACATCAATATAGTATACAAGTAACCACCAATATAAATATCAATTAGGCGAAATTATCAGTCTTAATGTTACTAATACAATATATAATATTGATATTATTATTAGTTAAGCGAAATTAGTTGGGAATATATATAGTGTAAAATATTTAGCGGGGTATGAGTATGAAGGGACATATGCTTGTAATTATTTTACTTTTATGTGGTATTTGCTTAATTTTTATTATTTTAAATTGTATATTTATATAATTTTTCTAAAAGAAAACACATTTGGACTTATATGAAAAACCATGGGCTCAATGTTGGACTTATATGAAAACCCGACCCATTATTTCATCATTTATTCTCTCTCACACCTCGAATTCTTCACAGTGGTTTTTGTGCATAGCAGAAAGGAGAAATAAGCGGGAAAAAGATGCAGAAGCGGCAAAGCGGTGGCGTAGCTGGCGGTGGCTCAGCTACTCCGGTAGCTAAGAGAGGACGTCCGTTAGGTAGCGTAAACAGTAACTCCGCCGCTGCCTCTGCTACCGCGGCAGCCGCATCCAGTGCTGCCGACTCAGTAGCTCCGCCAACGCTTCTCGGACCTTCGCTTCATGTTCACTATGCATTTGCTGGTCAGTTAGTGCCTTATCGTATGTGTATTATACTGAATTTTGAATGCGTTATCATTAACTTTTTAGGTTTAAAAGGTGAAGGTTTGTAGTGCTATGTGGATAATGTATCTGTATATATGTTATGTGGTCTTATACATGTAATTTTGAGTACTTTATTTAGCGTTTTTATACTACCGCATGCATTACCAGTTTACTTACGAGCTGAATTATTGATTTTTTTGAGCTTGGGGTGCGGCCTTGTCTGGACATGCGTGATGAAGCTTAGGGATTTGAATTACCATAGTATAAGGTGTGAGTAAATGGACGGTAATGTCGAGTTGAAGTTATATCCTGCCGGTTGTTTCCTTGTTGTTCAGGAAATTAACTTTTACTCGTATCTAATAGCTTTCAAGGATTCAAAATAGAATTTCTAACCTAAATCCCTAAACTACAAAGAAAAATGCTGTTAGAAAAGTTGGAAGAGAGGCACACAAGGGTGTGGCCTAGTGGTCAGTGGTTGAGAACCTTGAGGTCTCACGTTCAAAACACTAAGTGATTCTTCCCATCTGTCCTAACCTTGATTAACAGAGTAATCTGCTACCAGTTGTTGGTGGAAGTTTGCGTGAAATTAGTCGAGGTGCGTCTAAGATGGCCGGACACCATGGTCATGAAAAAAAGTAGTTAGAGCAGTGGAATAAATAGCCAGTACCCTGAAAGGAAATTTGACCCATTTGCAACAAACTTAATTCAATTATTTTTTAAAATGGTAACTTAAATCTAAATTTGATTTTCTTGTTGTTTAAGTTGGCTGGACACCACAGTCATGATAAAAAGTGGTGAGAGGGGTGGAATAGATTGCCAGTACCCTGAAAGGGAATTTCACCTATTTGCAACAAACTTAATTCATTTTTAAAAAAAATGATTTTTTAAAACTAAATTTCATTTTCTTGTTGAACAACAAACGAGTTTCATTTATCCAGTTACTCTGTGAAGAATAATGTCGTTAAAATTAACGGAGATGTTCCCCAGGAGAGTTGTTCCTGGTGTCACAACTGCTATTGCTGCCTTCTTTTTAGAAATTTGCTCTTTTAGTTGGAACTATAGACTTTGTTTTAATTTTTCAAGTTGAGGAGCTAGACACGCAGGATCATGACCATATATTGGAACCTAAATGCATAAACATTGTTGTCAAGTGAAAATTCGCCTTTGAGTCAAATGCACATTTTATGGGATTACACTAGGACTAGGTATGTTGTTGCACATTTTGGAATCACTAGTCAAATTGGAGAACTTAATATTGAATTGAAAATACAAACATGTGGACTCTCAGAATGGCCTCGAAACAATAACATAGAGGGCAGGGTTTCAGAAAGGAAAGACATTCATTACTAGACCTAAGATCTACTTGGATAGTTGATTTTTCGCCGTCCTTGAGCTCTGGGTGTATTACAATTTTACAGTTGCTGATTGATCCTTCGGGAGAAGGCAGTACTTAAGGATGTTGATCCACATCTAGGTTTGTTCGAAGAAGTGTGCGTTTATAGGAACCTTTCATGCAAAGCTCACCGAAGAAAACAAGTCCAAAGCGCACTTCGTTGCTCAACTTAGTAATGTTCATAAATGATTACTCAAATAATTCTCGTCACTATAACTCGGGAAAAGCTCACGGGATAGAGTCTTAGATACTCTCATGCCTCTTCATTTGTTGAGGGATGCCTTTTTGCTACTCCTGTTGTTCTCTGGTCATTGGTTCTATCGATGCATCTTTAGTGTCACCTAAGTTTGTGCCTCCCCCCCCCCCACCCACCCCCACCCACACAATGATCTAGATCTACTTGCTTGATGCCGTGGTCCCCTCTTTCTAGCTATTCTCTTCACTTTCTTGTTTTCACCGTCATTCTATTGCCTCTCCTCCCCCTTCCTTTGTCGTCTAAGGTGGTATAGTGGCTCCTTCAGATTGGTCACTAAGAAAAATTCTCCACAGTTGTGCATTTGCAATAATGTTAATAAGTGACTGTGCTAGCCACTCTCAGTTGGTGTTCATGAAAATGTTATTGTGCAGTACTAACTCTTGATTTTCTGTCTGTAATCTGGAGGTAGATGCTCACCTCCTAACTTCACTCTCAAACTTTATTTGAGTATCGGCCTTATATGAATTAGCCGTCTGCTACATAGGCTTATGACTCAACAAACATTTCCAACTAATGGATCAACATCCCACACGCATGTCTTATCTTCTGTCCTCTAAAGGCCCAACTAAATAGTGCATCCTTCACTAATACCTGACATAGTACATTATAGCTGGAACCTCTTACATAAATGTTGAGAATAAAGAAGCACTTTTTAATCATATTAACAAAGAAATTCCAAGAAAGCATTTCTCATGCAGATACAACAACTCCTTTATCTGTTGGGTCTGTTATCTCTAGTATTGAGGGAAGGTTGACTTTGCTTCTATCTAATGATAGAAAATTTTAAGGGAAGTTTGATTTTAGGATTTCCTACCTAGTTTAAATAAGGGAAGTTTTAATAACCTAAATTTTAGGATTTCCTACCTAGTTCAAATAAGGAAAGCTTTAATAACAAAAAATTAAGTTGATTTCAAAATTTTAAATACTAGGAAAATGATTAGATGACTAGGTTTGTCTAATGTGAGATCAATTTTAAGAGATAAAAAAGGGAACCGACATTTCGGAAGGGCCTTCATGCTTTTAGATAGATGTAGAGAATATAAATCTAGATCCAATCTGTAATTGCTATGCTCTATTCGATCTTGAAGTATTAATTGTACAATAACTCTACTTTTAACAATTACGTATGCATATTTGTATTCAGAGGACTAATCTCCAAGAAATGAATATTAGTATTCTACAATCACCACGTATTCGGTATGGGACTAAACTTGGAGTCTAAATGGACTTATCTTCCTAGTTGTGTTCATTGGCCCATAAATTTCATTCTTTTCCATATTTTTCAAGTTCTTTTAAAATGAGAGTGACTTTATATAAAGTAAACTCTTAATTAATTTTGAAGTCATTAGGACTTTTTAAATAATTCAAATAAGTAAAGATTTAATGACCAAAATCTTAGTTGATCTCAAAGTCATAAAAATTAGGGAGATAATAAATGACTATTTTAACTAATGTGAAATCTAATTTTAAAGGGTAAAAAAGGTGAATAACATTTCGCTATGAGCTTTGAACTTTCAACATGTATGGATTATAGAGGTTTACAATTCTTCGTATTTTTTTATATTCTTAGTATTTTACTTGTATTGCCAAAAGGTATGATGTAGATGTCAATGGAATGGAATGGACCATGGAGATAAATGTGCAAAGCCCATCGAGTCAAAAGAAGCTACATAAACTTTCCATATGTTAAAGCGTCGGGTGAGAGGGCCTGAGTTATTTGGCATCTGCGTGGTGGAAAGTAGCACATATCTTGTGGACTAGTTGAGGTCCTTTGCAAATGATAGTGCTTTGCACAGTTGCACTTAAAGCTCTAATAGATCTTGAGCTGTTGTATGCCTTTGCCTTTACCTCTAGGACATCCATTTGGGTCAAGATTTGACTCTTCCAGTACTCCAACTGTTACATTCCAACAATTTGGTCAACCCTATCTAAGCAAAATTAAAGTAGTTTCCGATCCGCATAAGGTACAGCTATTGGTGTACGATGGAACACCAGTTATGTAAATTGCTTCGTTTCTGAAAAATTGATTGACCTGCTGAATTTGAGGAAATAGTGCAGGCATTTGTAGAAGGTAAATGAATTAAAATATTTTCTGATCTGCATAAGGTACCATTGACGTAAGATAGAACTCAATTGATGAAAATTGCAGCATTTCTGAAAGTTTGTTCTGACTTGTTGAATTTGAGGAAATACAAGCATTTGTAGAAGACGAGGATGTGGATTAAATGATGCATTTTCCAGCCACATATGCTTATGATTATCATTTAGTTACCAATCTTCCGTTCTTACAGATCAGAATAATAAAAGGATTGTTCTGGCACTTCAAAGTGGATTGAAGAGTGAGCTGACGTGGGCATTAAACGCTCTCACTTTGCTATCATTTAAAGAGAAAGATGAAGTCCGCAAAGATGCAACCCCTCTTGCGAAAATTCCTGGGTTGCTTGATGCTCTACTTCAAGTTGTATGTTTCTCAATGTTTTCTGTGTAACTTCTGCCTCATGGTTGACTCTTGATTAGTTTTTCCCTATTTACTTACATTGTGATGGCAATGATCTGTTTGACAGATAGATGACTGGCGTGATATAGCGTTACCAAGGGTGCTTGTGAAGACACCACGTGTTCGACTATTGGGTGCAAATTCAGCTGTTACTGGATTTGGAAATGAATATGAGGCCTTGAACTCGGATAATAGCTTACCTCATCCTAGGTAATTCAACATGCCTCACCCCTTCTGTCTTCTTCCTGATGCCTTTAGTTGTAAATCTTAGTTTCCGATGCATGGAATCTGCAATGCAGACCCTACCATGTATTTAATTGACTTGTGTTACTTGCTCCATATATCCTTTGACCACAGTACTGGATCTGGATCCTCCAACAAAGAGGCATCTGTTCTGAAGTGTGCTAACAAGCTTCGCCCTGGAGCCTGGAATTTTGATGAAGATGGCCTATTTAACTTGGATGAGGAGGGGCGTGCTGAGAAACAGCTGTGTGCTGTCGCTGCTTCAAACATTATCCGCAACTTCTCTAACATGCCAGATAATGAAGTCATCATGGCGCAGCACAGGCATTGCTTTGAAACCATATTTCAATGTCTTGAAGATTATGTTACAGGTGGGGAAAGAGGTTTAAACTTAATCTTAGTTTTTTTGTATTTGGTTTAAATTTGCCATCTATGATGTGGCAGTTTGTATTATGTTCTGCTCATATAAGACATTTACTCATCTATCTTCTGAATCTATCTTCCTGGTTATACATTGAGGAAGATGTTGATTGTTAGTGATGTATGTAATTGACTTGTTAGATGAATAAATCCTACTGAGGAAATTCTATCATTCTAGAGGAATTCTCTCTTGTTTATTCCTTGGAAACCTCCCTAAATATTTAGCACATTCCATACTTCTGATAGTCGAATTCTCTACCTGTTTAGTCACCCTTTTATTGTTGACAGCTTATTGAAGTTTATGACTTATGTATGTGGCCTCATTTTATACTTTCCAATGGAAAGGGTCAATTTAAGATTTCTGTGCTTGCGTGGTATAATCTAAATAGACTGCTTGGACTTTGTTGACAATCTTGATTATGTTGTTGCATGGCATGCCAACAACAACATACTTAGTGTAGTCCCACAAGTGAGATTGAGGAAGGTGGTGTATGCAGCCTTACCCCACCTTATGAAGGTAGAGAAGTTATTTCTGATAGACCCCTGGCTCAAGCAAAGCATATAGAATTGACAGATGGCTGAATGCCAGATACTCTATATTAAAATGTTTTCTCGACTCATGTCCATTTAAAACATGTTTCTCTTTACCTATTTTTGATTTCGGATTTCTTTTGTTGACAGAGGATGAGGAACTTGTCACAAATGCCCTTGAGACTGTAGTGAATTTGGCTTTGTTGCTGAATCTTCGGATCTTTAGCTCCTCAAAACCTTCTTTTATCAAAATGACGTAAGCATTTGACTTGTCAGTTGCTTGCTTTGTACTGTTGGCTCTTATACTGAGTTGAGGCTTTTTTTTGTTTCTGTATGTTCTAAATTGAGTTGTTTGTTTCTTGATCCAGGGAGAAACGTGCAGTCAAGGCTCTCATGGGAATGCTGGGATCTGCTGTGAAGGCTTGGCACTCTGGCGCTGCTGAATTAATTGGTCGTCTTATAATAAATCCTGACAATGAACCTTTCCTACTTCCTTTTGCTTCACAGGTTGATGTTCATTTTGACAGCTGCAGTACGAAATTTCCATCTGTACCTTTATGAATGCTCAGAAAACTCACTAAACACGATTTGTGAGACATGCAGATATATACACGTTTGGTCGATATAATGAGCTCTCCACCAACTGATGCTCAAGCAGCTGCTGTAGGTGCATTATATAACCTTGCAGAGATAAATATGGACTGCCGTTTAAAGCTGGCCAGTGAGCGATGGTAAGTGACAGAATTTGACCTAATTATAGTTAACAGATTCCTCTTAATTTTGTATCTGAACGATTGATTCACCACATTGAACTTCAGGGCAATTGATCGCCTGTTGAAAGTGATCAAGATGCCACATCCAGTACCAGAAATTTGCAGAAAAGCAGCAACTATTTTGGAAAACCTTGTGTTGGAGCCGCAGAACAAGCCCCTCCTCCTATCCTATGAAAATGCGTTTGCGGAAATGCTCTTCGGGGATCCAAGGTACTCAGACATATTCGCGAGGATATTATATGAACTAACATCACGATCAAGCAACAAAGTTGCATCAGCTTGTGGTATTTGGGGCATGTAACGCAGAGTGCTGTATTGGGTGGATTTGTGCTGACAGTGATGTATATATAAGTTTAACCTTGAATATTTATTAGTTTAACTTGCTGTCGTTCTCTTTAAGCACTAATCTAGCTCTTAACTGTAAAATTTAGTTCCTGGCAAGTAGTTCTTTCTCCTCAAGGCAAAGTGCCCTAATTTTGGGTTAGTCCTCATGTCTTTGGTTCAAGAATACTCGGGTAAGACGTGATATGTTGGTAAGACATTTCTTATGAGCTTGATTCTTGTCGCAGTATTTAATTTGTAAGTATTCTATACAGCCCAGAGTTCTGAATTTTCACTTGGATTGAAATTGGACTAGAAGTCCACAAGAGGTGGATACAGAATTTTAATTATTCGGTGTTGAAAACATAGGGTTCAGATGAACTCGATGCCAAAGAAATCATCCTTATTCCTATTTCTTGTTGTAAATCTTAGGTCCAGCCCTATCCCTAGGCAGAGGTGGATCCGATATTTTAACTTGATGGATTGATCTTAGATCCACGCTTAGCGATCCAAAATTATTTAAAGTTGACGAGTCTGACCTTTAAATTTTTTAGGATCAAACACATTAGTAATTCTATTTTGGTGTGTTTTCACGTAAAAATTCAAATTCAGTTTCAATGTTGAAAATACTCTATTCAGATGAACTGAATATTGAAGCACCAGAGCCGCCTTTCCTCCTATGGTTGCTGCAGGTATTTCCAGCTCCTCGTTGCCCCCTTCTCATTTACGTACACAAAACAGCTGGTTCCATCTTTACTCAGCTATTTGCATCTACCATTTCATGCATTTATTACTCAGAAATTAATACAAAGTTTCTAGTCACTTCATCATAAATACCCAAATACAACTAGTTAGATACTGTTGTAACAACCCCTTTTCGTTTCATTTTAGATTAACGGTGTTTTGAATGAACGCAAAATTTTAGAAATGTGTATTTACTCAGATTAACAATTATTCGTGGTGTTTGTGACCTTCATTTGCTAGAAAATAGAATATTTGATATCACTTTTTATAAATAATCAAATCAAATTACATTGTGCATTGCAATCTTTAAGGTAACAAAGAATGATAATACTACTATTACATAGTAACATTTACTGGAGGAAAATTAAAAATTATTTTCAAGAATCATTAATTGTGACAATTCTAGGTACTTCAACTGGGAATTCATGAACCTCATCCATCCATGGATTCTTCTCTTTAGCAGGATTAATCGTCTTTAACGCGCGCCACACAGCACTGTTACATTTAAATCCAGAACCAAATGCAATTTGCCATGTTCTGTCTCCTTTCTTGATCCTCCCTTTAGCTTCAGTATAAGCCAATTCATACCATAAAGAGCTACTTGATGTGTTACCAAACCTGTAAAGTGTCATTCTTGATGGCTCCATATGCCATTGGCTGAGCTCGAGATTTTTCTCGAGCTCATCCAGTACTGCCCTTCCACCAGCGTGTATACAGAAATGCTCGAATGCCAGCTTGAAATCAGGTATGTAAGGCTTGATTTTCATCTTAAAGATCTTCCTCGCGACTAATGTCATGAAGAAAAGGAGTTGCTCAGACATAGGAAGAACTAATGGCCCGAGCGTTGTGATGTTAGTTTTTAGTGCTTCCCCTGCAACAGCCATTAGGTCCTTCGATAAGGCAACACCAATCTCCTTCTTCTCGTCCTCCTCCTGGAACACACAACCATAGCTCCTGTCATCCGCGCCCTTGTGTGTACGTACTGTATGGATGAGTTGGTACTTGGAACGTCGACGATCTGTTGATCTGTTCGACAGCAGAATTGCAGCACCTCCCATCCTAAATATGCAATTTGAGACAAGCATTGATCTGTTGTTGCCAAAGTACCAATTGAGTGTTATGTTTTCCATACTCACCACAAGTGCATAAGAATTAGGATTCACCTGATCATACATCAACATTGATAGCATTAGAAATTTCAATACTTGATATAAACAAGTAGTACCATGTAAAGTTATCTTAGGTCACGAGTTCAAGTCTCGGAAACAACCACTAGTGATGTCATTTTCAAATAGTACCATATTTGTATACAATCAATGTTTACCACTCTTGTCTCATAAGTTAGTTGAGTTCACCTTCCCACATGGAAGAAAGTTAATGAAACACTTTTTGAAAAGTGAGACATTGAATTGCCAACTAGTAGAGATTGGACATCAATGTGGTCCATTCCATTTTATTAATCTCGTTTTCATATTATCTGTCTTTTAAGATTTTCCAAAATCTATTTACTTTGAAACGCTTCTCAAGAAAAGTATATTTGGAAAATACTACTATTTGTATTTGACTAATCAATTTGAAAAACACTTTCCCGTTCTAAAATAAGCACTTTTGACTTCTCAAAACCTTAATCGAACATAGTATAAGTTAATCAAAAAGAACAAACCTGCAATAGTTGTTTAGCAAGATCAATAGAAATGAGTCCAGCACTACATCCCATTCCACCAAGATTATAACTCATAACATTTCCCCTGAGCTTGTAATGGTTAACAATCATAGCAGAAAGTGATGGTGTTGGATTAAACAAGCTACAATTCACCACAAGTATCCCAATATCCTTAGCCTTCACCCTAGTTTTCGCCAACAACTCATCGATAGCACCAAACATCACCATCTCAGCCTCTTTCCTTGCCTCAGCCATGTTAGGTTCCGCGGGCACTCTCAAAAGTGCCTCAGGAAAATACGTCTTTTGACCTAAACCCGACCTTTCTAGTATCTTCTTCTGAAAGGCCAAATTCTCCTCAGTGAAAATCCCGGCTTGTTTTGATCTCTCCATGAAAGTTTCTTTACTACACATAACATCAGGCTTAGGCTTATAACATGAAAAGTCAACCAAATACACTTTTCTAGGCCTTGTCATGAAATAAAGTGTCCCCAGAAAAACAACAACAGCAGAACATAAAATCACTGTGATAAGATTGAACTTCAATTTATCCAATAATTGGATCAGGTCCTCAACTGAAATAGTCATAACATGAACACAAAGAACTCCCAAAACAGGAACCAAAAACAGATACATTGCATTGCTGATCAAGTAATGGTAACCAAGTTTCACATATTTGAGCCTGATTGATTGAAGAAAATTAGGAAGATTGTTAACTTCAACCGAAATTCGCGCGGTTTCAGAGCTAACTGAATTCTTCTTGTTCTCATCCCCCATTGTTTAAACTGAGCTTGACTCTCAAATTCAATGAAGTTAGAGAAGAGAAAATGAGAAGTTTTCTTGATGAAATAAGAGATACTTGAGTGTAAAGAACTGTTTTTAGATGAAATATGAGATATCCGAGTGAAAAGAATTGATTTTTAGAGTAGAGAAGAGATA